TGATGAGGAAAATCAAGAATTTATTAGCTTAATGTAAATATTTTAAATTTAACTCAACAGCTGTTGTAAATATAAACGTATAAATAATATATTCATTAATGTTCTTTTAAATTCGTACTAATCTTACTTCTACGATTGTTTATTATATATAGTTCCATAAATCTTATGTACAACTCAACTGCGCCACCAGTTAGTTGTGTCTCAAAAACTATGATATATTAAAATATTACCCCCGCCGCAGCAAACCTGACGCCTAAGCGAATTTCCATTTGGCTGAATTGATTTTCAATTGATCTATTTAAATAACATTAGGTTTAACGAGTACCTAGGTTTGCTGCTACAAGGAAACTAATAAAGTGTGTGTTTTAAGTAAAATAATTATTGCTTAGTATAAAATGAATATATTTGCCAAGTTTGATCAAAAGATATCCATAAACAAGCAAACTACAACATTTTACAATATTCTCCATAAGAATAACATGGGAATTTTAAATTTACCATTTTTTTAGTTTTCTCCGTAACCAATAACCGTACAAAAACACTTTGATATACTGAATTGTTTGTTTTTTTGAGCTCTTTAAGAAGGTTGTTTAGAGAAAAATTGGAAAATTTTGTGTTTTGAGGGTCAAAAGTGAGAACAACCAAGGTATGAACAACAAAGATATGAATTCTGGGTTTTTCAAAGTTGGCCACCATTTTTCAATATGGCAACTAACTTTAACTTTGGAACACAGTTTTAAGACTTTATTTATTTTTTTACATTTCCTCTCCAAATATAGGATCTATAGGGTGCACAACGTACAAATTAAGCCTTTTTTCATTTAAAATTGCACTTATATTAAAAAAAATAATTTCTTTATGAAATAGGTACAAGATATTATTATACAGTATGTGGCATTTTAAAATCGACTGCCATCTTGGAAATAGCGGTCATTAATGACAAGTTTAGTTCCTATTTTTTATGCAATAAAAAAGAGTTGAAGTTCTCTATTTAACGTGTTCTCCAATTTAAGTGTTTCTGGGATACCAAAAGTGGCACAGGTTGTTCACTCTATAGATGAAAACTAAACTTTAACGAGGTTTTTTGCGGACATTCACATTTATTTATTAACCATGTAAAATGTAACTGGGCGGTGTTCACAGACGCTTCCACAGAATTGAGTGGAGTTATAAGGTCACCGACCCCCAACATCAAGATTTATAATTATTTTAACCTACAATATTTTAAGTAGAGACAATATCTTCTGGGGAATAACTTTTTGGGATTATTAAAATAGTTAAATATGTTTTCCCAGTGAAGTAAAATTAAAAAAAAAAACACACACAGTGATGTAACTATGCGCCATTTCAGAGACCTGCACGTACATTTTAAGCTTAAAACCTCTGCGGTGGTATATCAACTTTATCTCAAACCGAGCGCTGCAGTTTCAGCTAGTGATAACCTAGAACTCAACCCATACAGTTTCGGCTTCCACCATTTTGGTTACTAATAACTGCTTTAGAGATGAACTTTATACGATGGTAGGAAGAATGCTATTATATATTTAACTTAACTTATTTATAAAAGAGGATGTTTGTATATTTGAACGTTATGGACTCCAAAACTGCTCGACAGATTGTAATGAAACTTTCAGGTATTATTACGCATTATTCAAGGATGGTTTGTGTGAAGTTTGGTGCAGATCCGTCAAAAGGGCTCCACCCCAGTGGCTCTGGAGGTTCCCATGTTAACCTTATGAGTACTCATATTTAAATGGAATTAAAGAATCCTAACAGCTTTTTCAACTAAACAATTTGATTCTGTAATGACCAATAGCATTAAAAGGTTACATAATGTACCAACAGGGTGCAGCACTATTAATTGTCTAAATTTATGAACAGTTGCTAATTTCAACCAAGCAGCTGTGATACAAAATTAGAACTGTCAAAGTAGTATTGTTTACAGTTATGTTTATGTTTTTAATATAATAAATAATGTTTGATAGTGTGTGAAGTTTTACTTTTTAAGTGCGTAATTCATTAACTTATTGACTTTCTTTTTTCCAAAATGTCTGGGTAACGAAAGTAGCCAGTTAATATTTTAAGTTAATACTTTCAGTAAATCCCAAAGTACCCATGAAAAAAAGTCACACACCCATAAACCATATACTTAAAGTGTTCGTCATGACGAGAAACCTTGCGCAAAACTATCCAATATTTCATCAATTGTCCTTTAAGGTCGTAATTCTTTTCTAAAAGGAACTTTCCATATACCTAATGTAAAAAATAACTCAGCTGTACTTATTTGTATGTTATTTAATTTATTACCTTATTACAATCAGTGATTGTTTTTGTTTGTATTACTAAACTCTGTTTAGTTTATTTGAGCTTAACTTTACCAATAGTTGTATTAATACTTATGAAGTCAAGCGAACTAAAGATGATCGTCGCAAGATAGATTAATCAACAAATGATATGATAGATCTTACCGTATATCTCTAAAAACGTGATAGGATTAGTGCAACATCGTATAGCTATATTAAAGTATATTTTGTATAATTAATTATCCAGTAGTTACATCCAAATTGTTGATTTGGAATGGTCTAATGTTCGTATTATTATAAGTTACTTTATTATTAATAGGCGATTCCAATGATGATAATAGTCTTTTGCATCTAATAAACTATAAATATATGTTACCGTTGCGATTAGAACAATATAAATGTAAACTATTGATAATGCACCATAACATTTTTTTTTTCAGACATTCCAGGGCAAATGCAAGGTTAAAGAGGCCGCCAAGCTCTTTAAAAAATACCGCAAAAATAAACGTTTTAACATGTTTATTTTTTAATCAAAACAGACTAGCCAAACACATCCTCCTATGAACTGTTAAACTTTTCGTTGAAAACACTTGAAATGAGAGCACAGAGGTAGCTGAAGCTGGCAAACCTCAGAGATTACCGTCACACTAATTGCTTTGTCAGCTAACCGGGTAATTTTATGCTTTAAATACGTCAGTTGGTATTCATTTTCATAAATAAGACAATGTTTATAAAGAAGTTTGAGCTACGGCGTTGATACATATAGGGATGTGTAACACCCTACAGCGTAAACATAATTTTAATTCAAATTTGTAAAAATTATGAACAAAACCTCTTAAACCGTTAACAAATTTCGGCTATTTTTAATAGTTGATGCCAAATTCCATGAAAACTGTCGATTTAATAAAAATGGAAGATGTATAAAACAGTTATTCTTTCTTGTCATGCTGAATAACGTGAAAAAGGTTGTTTGTATGGTTGCTGTATATACACGGATCTTTGTACACGATGATTTTTATACGGGTTTGAACTCTTTGAACTTTGATCTACTTGCATTATATACCAAAGAATATATTACCGTATTGATTTAAATAATCATTGTATTTTTGTAAAAAATGTCCTCGCAACCAAACAAAGCTCTGATAACTGTTCCAGATTGTAACTGTTCCAGATTGTAACTTTTCCTGATTGTAACTGTTCCAGATTGTAAGTGTTCCAGATTGTAACTTTTCCTGATTGTAACTGTTCCTGACAATAATCGATTCTCAGTTCTCGGTAACGATAGGATCATCACCTAAAAGTACTCATTAATAAATAGTGGCGATCGTTGACATTTTATACGACATAATCGTGTTGTAAAATTAAATCAGCCACACTCAAACCGTCTTCTGATTTTGTAACTGGTGTGTATTTTGTGAATACAATTCAAGAATCGGGAACAAGTTTTTAAAACTATGTTTTTGGGAAACATTTTACAAAGAATAAACATAAACAGGAAATTTGGCTTTCCCGTACTATGTTAGACAAACCAAAAATAAAAAAGAAGATAGCAAGTCAAGTAATAGGTTATGTTATTGGAACGTAGTGCCCATGGTATTTTGTAATAGACAAAGCTACACAACTGAAGTAAGGAACGTAACCTATTACGTTACACATATCTGTACAGATCTATCTTCAACTTATGAACCACTTTAGATGTCAAGTTGTTTGACATTCAATTTGTGGGTATAAATGTCGTCTTGTTATGAACAGCTCGTATGTATATTTCATATGGGAAAGAGATGATTAGAATGAGTTGTATTTACATCGGGTGGAAAAATACTTCTAGGTATCACACGAGGCGTCTCTTAAACCGGTTATGATTTCATAACTCGTTTTTTGACAAACCTAAAATCAATTTAATTACTTTATCAAAAAATTATTATTCGACTTATGATTTTTAATGCTGTTTAGTAAATGCATCTGTATTAAAAAGTGATCGGAATAATAATATTTAATATCATTGATATAGGCTACTTATAAAATATCTATTATTGCTAAGCCGTTTAAACTATACAATCAAGCGGACTCTAAAACGTTGGTTAAAGTTGAACTTTAAAAACTGGAGTTTGTAAATTTATAATAAACAGCAATAAGTACTAACTGTAGTTTACTAGCAGATACAGTAAACAATGTGTTGGCCAACATACTGGCTCCCTCGTTCTATATGATAAACAGAAGATATCGTCTACCAGACAAACCACCTTAGTTGATGAACTAAGAGACATGTAAGGCAACCATTCTCCAAAAGCTGAAATGCAAAAAAACGGAATTCTACTATGGGTTGAAGTGGCATTTAGTTTGGTATCCTGATAAAATAACTTCCATAATCTTTCCTCTTAGTTAGATTTTTTTTCAATGACCTCTTTAGCATTTGCGAATAAATTTAAAGGCGTGATAATGGAAACACTAGGAAGCTACTGCGTTCGCCAACACCTTTTTTATTGTTTCTGCTAGTCCACAATGTCTTTTCATATGAACAAACCCACGGCAATTGTGAGTAAAACTAAACTTTAGAATGTGGCTGATACCGACACAGGTTGTACAAACATCACGCATTTTAAAAGTAACAAAATACCGTAACATGCATGAAATTGAATATGTAAATAGTGCTGATGCATAACTTGTGGCTATATTTTCTGAAGACCCTACAGTTACCTGAGATGAGCACTAGCACTATCCACAGGATGCCGACTAGACTCCTCATGATAGACAGGACAATCCTACTTCTCTCCACATCCTGTTACTGAAACAAACATCACAATTAGCTGAACAAAGCTCTCCATAGTTACTTAAACTATGTTATTTAAGTAACAAAATAACATAGGAAGCAGCGAATGACAAGTGAACGTTAGTCAACAGTTGTTTATCTAGTAGTTAATCTGTAAAATAGGCGGAAAATGTCCAAGTGGAAGATGTCATACCACAGCAAACAATATTAAGTGCGGTCATTGCATTGTGCTATGACGTTTCACTGCACTCAGAAATACCCAAATACTACAAATGGAATGCATCAAAGAAAAGTATCGATGTCATAATCAGAAGAGACCAGTTGATGTGTCCGACGCGTATACTAGCCTGTCTCTATACAGTCCAACCAAACAATAAAGAACGCTTTCACTTGCGATTATAATAGATTAACGCACTTTGGCCAACATAATTCTAATAACCAAAACCAGGGCATGGTAAAGTATAAACTACTCTGAAATAGAATAGTAGAATAATAATAAAAATAAATCTTTCCAGAAATTTTATCAAGTTAAATTGGGCTGTCCAGTCGTTAAGATTCCGTAATCCGTGGACTACCGTAGGCCTAGATGAGACTGTGGCTATTGTTCACAGGGTTGCCAACACTAGCAGACCCACTTATCTTAAAGTCAGGTTTAAAACTAGGATAGATGTTAGAGAGAGGAGTACAAGACAATATGGCCTGCTGCACTTGTCTCGTGTCCAGTTAGAACACGGAAAAAGGACTTTACTTCTTTTGCTCCTCAGAAATAAAATTAACTGTTACAAAATAAACTTTGTTATATAGATTTTTGATTGAATTCCTTTTGTATATATAAGTTAAGGTATGTTTAGTTAATAAGTCAATTAATTATTGTAATATTTATTTTGTATTGACTTGAGTAGTTTAGAGAAACAGTATTGTTACTAAAAACCACTTTAAATAAAAGACGTGTTTTATTATAATTATTATGTAAAAAAAAGTGCAGAAACCATCAATAGGTTATGGACCCAAAAGTCCTCGGCATTTGGTCATACTTGTGTAACCTGAAACCAAAACTTACGACCATATTGTGAAGTGAATACATGTGATTAATAGTTTTGAGGATTTACTTGGAATTGGTTTCATAATAATTAAGATTTGTTTGTAATTTTAATTCTTGTTCAATTATTGGTTTAATAGTTAATGGTAAAACCTATAAGCTTTCATCCTATAAATGGGTTTAAATAATTTTTTTGAATGAAACCAAAAATATTTCAAAGTTTCTCCTTTCTATATATGATTCTACAACACATGTTGAAGTATAGAAGTGTTCCACAACTCTAATTTGGGCTTCATTGTTACTTCGGATATTAAATCTTTTGTTGCAGAAAACAATAGTTGTTTGTATTGATCTCGACCAGAATGGATTCAATGTTTTCTAACAAATAACTTTTTCGCTTAACTTTATATTGAAAAAATAAACAATGATAACCTTTGGGCAAGTAAACCTTGTATTTCAACCTTTAACTTTTTCTGTATTCGACCATAGATAAAACATACATTTAATCAGTAAACTCACTCACCATGGAATACAAAAATTCTTTAAGTACATAGACTTCCTAATTGTTGATCTGTAAACGACAAAGCCAGGCTTTTATTATAAGCGCATAATGATGTAGAAATTAATTGTTTTCGTGTTTTTCCTCTAAGATCCGAATAAGATTTTTCCAAATCTATTATGTAGATTCCCATAGTGAATTTAAAAAAAATCTAAGAAAGGCTTGACATTTTATATTTTATTTGCTAGTAAAAACTTGAACTGCAACATTTTCACAAATTAATGGATTTTTGTTTTTTTATAAAATTATAAACAAGTTATAATTATTTTATTAAATGAAAGCCATTGGGATATTAGCCATCAAGATTGGTTACATTCACTTTACAGGCGAAGTCTCCAAGGAAGTTTAGTAAAAGTCAGTATAAAATTCCTAAGGAGACGTAGACACACTTATCATATGCATAAAATGACGGATACAGTTTAATAGACTGGGGCAAAAAAAAATAAATAAATAAAATAATAATAAATAATAATAATAATAATAATTAATAATAAATAAATAAAAGCATCATGTAAAATATCGTAATTGAAAATATGACCATTATATTAATTAAGTTATAAATTACAAGAGGATGATACAATTGTCTACATAAGGTTTTCTAGATTTGTCATGCACACGTACTTCATTTCTGTCTTTCAGTACGTTTAACATGTGAAGAAATGACTTTACCGGAATACAAACACTAGTTAGATTTAATTTAGAGGTTTTACCTGTATAATAAATTGTCTCCAATTTTAAAATTTTTGATATTATATTGACTAAATGGATGTATTTAAATAGTTTCTGTTTAGTACTGATATATACAATATGCTACGTATACAGGGTGTCCAAAACCACCCGTACACCCCTGTAAAATCGAGGAAAACCTTTTCTTACAAACAAAAAATAATACAGAACTAGCTATATTGGGCACGGTCTACCAAATGGTGATGATTTCAAATCCAAAAGCACACCGGAAATAGCTGTTCCAGACCGGAAGTCGACTTTTTTAAATGTAAACTACCAATTTTGATCACAGATTCGGATTCTACGTTAAAAAATACATGACTTTTGTCTAAAACATTTTTAGAAAAAACTTATTTTCTTCATCTAATTCCCTATTAAAGTCAATCATTATGTCATTCATCTGCCATAGTTACTTGAAACCCCAATAGAGAAAAAAAATAACAAAGATTACATGAAGACATCTGATAAACATAGAAATCAGCTGTTTATTGTAAACACTTTAATAATTGAGTAACAGCTGTTCTACGCATTGTATAATTTTATTTTTTCTATAATTTGTTTTTAAATGTAAGTGGTCGACACATGCTAAATCTATTTCGCATGACAAAAACTGCTAGACGACATTTGATTTATTATTAATTAAAAATTCGTCTGTCCTCGCTTTTTAACTTTTATGGAATGTGGCCAAAATATAACTCTAATTATTAAAATAGTTATAATTTTAAAATGTTCCGACAGATGCTCTTAAATAATATTATTGTTTGTTACAAGTTTCATAATAAATTATCTAATCTATTTAGTATAAAATATCATAAAAATCTGAACTTAAAACCATTGGTTGTAATAAAATATTGGTTGTAATTGGTTGTAATAACTTTATTTACAGGTTTTATGTACAATATCAACTAGGTTTATTTACTAGTTGAGCCTGCCGATCCTCAGTGTTCAACGTAGCCACCGCCTCGCCGAATGCACGTTTGTACTCTGTTTTGAAAATCGTCGACCGCCCGACGAATTTCTGTACCTTCAAGCGATCGAATGTCATCTCTTATCCTTTGGACCATGTTTTCTCTTGTAGTCGGGCGTTCCTGGTAAACCATGTCTTTCAATCTTCCCCATAAATAATAATCTAGGACTGTCAAATCCGGCGAACGTGGTGGGAAGTTGACAGGCCCATACATTCCTATCCACCTGTTGGGAAACACTCTGTGTAGTTTTTTCTCGGCTTATAACAGCTGTGTGGGCTGGACTGCCATCCTGCTGAAACCACATATTGAGGCGCAGATCAAGAGAGATATCTTCCAGCAAAATCGGCAATTCTCTCTCCAAGAGTTCTACATACCGATGACGATTAAGATTTCCCTAAAAAATAATGGGGCCTATGATTTTGTCGTCGACAATGCCACACCATAGGTTTATTTTCTAAATAACTTGGTGATCTATAGGTCTCAACCAGTGTGGGTTTTGCTGTGACCAGAAGCGACAGTTCTGCGTGTTTGCGGATCCATCACTCTTAGATGTGCATTCGTCCGACCACAGTACTCTTCTGTGAAAAAGATCTGGCTGACGTCGGAACCAGTTGCAGGACGCAAGACGTTGCCCGATATCATTATTGTCTATTTCCTGGACCAAAATCATTTTGTAGGGATGGAACTTATTGTCTTTAAGGATGTTACAAATCGTTGCACGACCTACTCCAGATTCTCGTTCGTGCCGTCTAATGGAATCATGGGGCTGAATAAGTACGGATGCTATAATATCTGCAGAATTCTCATCCCTAACCCGTCTATGAATTTTCTTAACCTTGTTGTGGTGAGGTTGAACAATGCCTTCTGTCTGGATTCGTCTTGAGAGTCTTGCGAATACATGCCGAGAATGAGGGAACCGATCAGGAAAACGTTGTCGCCAGAGTGTAGCTGCACCTTTAAATGACCCAGCTTCAAACAGAACTTGCTGCATTTCATAACCCTCCTCATTAGTGTAGCCCATTTACACTTTTAAAACAACACTGCCATACAAAACAATAAAAATAAACTGAAAAAAATCCGAGAAAATAGATAAGGAAAAAATAATTAATAACAACAAGGTAACGGAACACAATGTTTTCAAAAATCTAAACATAAAAAAATAATAATTCAACAATGCATAGAGCAGCTGTTACAATGCTTTTACATTGCAACATCAGTTTATTTAATTACTAGTGTTTACAATAAACAGCTGATTCTATTTATCAGATGTCTTCATGTAATCTTTGTTATTTGTTTTTCTCTATTGTGGTTTCAAGTAACTATGGCAGATGAATGACATAATGATTGACTTTAATAGGGGATTAGATGAAGAAAATAAGTATTTTCTAAAAGTGTTTTCTAAAAAAGTTATGTATTTTTTAACGTAGATTCCGAATCTGTGATCAAAATTGGTAGTTTACATTTAAAAAAGTCGACTTCCGGTCTGAAACAGCCATTTCCGGTGTTATTTTGGATTTGAAATTATCACCATTTGGTAGACCGTGCCCAATATAGCTAGTTCTGTATTATTTTTTGTTTGTAAGAAAAGGTTTTCCTCGATTTTACAGGGGTGTACGGGTGGTTTTGGACACCCGGTATATACTATAGCACTATATACTATATATGCTGTATATACTATATATGCTATATATGCTATATATGCTATATATACTATATACACTAT